ATCGAGCACCAGATTTGACGAAATCGAGCACCAGATTTGACGAATTCGAGCACCAGATTTGACGAATTCGAGCACCAGATTTGACGAATTTGAGCACCAGATTCGACGAATTTGAGCACCAGATTCGACGAATTCGAGCACCAGATTTGACGAATTCGAGCACCAGGCAGTAAGTGATTTTTGAGTTTGAGTTGGATTGTGTCTCCGCCCTGGGCAGAATTTCCAGAAAATCAGCAGGTTTTGCGAAATCGAGCACCAGATTTGAAGAATTCTAGCACCAGATTTGACGAAATCGAGCACCAGATTTGGCGAAATCGAGCACCGGATTTGACGAATTCTAGCACCAGATTTGACGAAATCGAGAATCAGAGCCACCAGCCCAGGGACCAGCCCCACAATGAAAGCAGAGCCACCAGCCCAGGCCAGCCAGGGACCAGCCCCACATTTCCAAATGAAAGCAGGGCCACCAGCCCAAACCAGCCAGGGACCAACCCCACATTTCAAAATGAAAGCAGAGCCACTAGCCCAGGCCAGCCGGGACCAGCCCCACATTTCAAAATGAAAGCAGGAGAGTCTTTGCAGTGCATGGGAGATTTGATTGGACCCAGACCTTTTTTTTTAATTTTCCTGGTGCTGCTTTTGTGCTCATCGATTGTGCTCACTGTTAGTGGGACTCAGCCACTTCGAAAGTATAGCCTTTTGAGTTTGACTATAGAGAAACCCCGACCGCGCCAAAAATCCCCAAACGCAACAAATGAAATTCCCCAAGAAAACCGCACCCTTTCTAAGTTCCACGGGCATAGAATGGGCGCAGTTGGAGATGAGTTTGGTTTGGGGATGATCCGGGATTGAATACTTATATTGGTCAAAAGTGAAAATTTTTGTTTTTTTTTCAGCATGATGGAAGCAGTTGAGCAGATGAAAACCCCATGTGCCCAGCTCTTGGCCGCTCTCAGTGCGGTTCCGCCAAGCCTGGAGAGTATAAATAGCGGGGTATGGAGGGTCCAATGCCCAAACACTCCAATATATGGAATGCTTACAATGATACATACATTGGGGTCCCATTCAGTGGTATTTCTTCAACAGGGGTCTATGTATAACAGGTATGCATGGATGAATGCTGTACACTATGCCAGTGCCATGCAATGTTTGCGATGAATGGACATGTGCAACGGCAAGATGATGCTTTAGTTGAGCACTCCCCAAAAAGAGATTCCAAAACTTGAATCTAGCAGCTTTGGAAGGACTGAGTGGCTTTCGTTCAGCCACCTCGCCCCCAAACACCGTTCTTTTTTAGTGCGCCCTTGTGCACTCCTAAGTGAAAAAAACAACAACAACAACAACAACAACAACAACCACAACCGCAACCGCAACCACAACCACAACCACGACAATAAGAAGTGGATTCCGCGCGCGACCGGACACGGGCACGCGCCAGAAAAGGGCGTTTTCGGCGCTCCTGCAGGCCTCCAATGCAGCAGCCAACAGGCTGAACGCCATGGCGAAGAATCTGGGGCCGGACTCCGAAGGCCTGGAGTGTCACCGCGGTGGGCGGTGGGAGTGTCACCCCTATAGGGCTCCAAGTCATTACCTCCTCAGGTTCGGTATGACTGGACATATTTGGAGCCTCTAAACCTACCCCCAGTCCGACCTACCCTATGACCTCGTATACAGTAGGCAATTCACGAGCCAACAAGGAAAAGGGGGCAACTCCCATCGAGCCCGAGGCGGAGCCGATGAAACATGAATGTGAGACTTGCCGTCATCTACCGACACCCAGACCAGGGGCTTCTATGCCCAACCACTCCATGCGACTCCCATCATATGCCATATGCCGATCAATTGGGGTGGTTTTGGGGCGGCAGTTGGGGCAGCATATATCGCAGTCCCATGGAGTGTTTGGGATTGATAGCCCCCCAAAAGATGTGAATTAAGGGGTGTCCATGAACCGGTTGACCAGTGGGTCCTGGTCCGGGGAGCGACTACGGGAGCTTCTGTAGAGAACGTCTTGGATTCGCAAGGCCTATTGGCTCGAAGCGCCTCCTGAGGTTGCTTTTTTGGGGGGATTTGAGTGCCTCGTGAGACTTCGAGGATCTCTCAACCACCTGGTCCAAGACGCAACGTTGTACCCGATCAGTTAGAAAACTCGGTCCCGTGTTGAAGGGGTGGCTCCATGCGTTTAAACAAAGTGATTAGTTGGATGATGTTATAGAATATAGACCATATAATAGATGTAATATGGTGTAATCAGTATGTAAGTATAGTCAAAAGCAGCATGGCTTTTGATCACCAATCTCATCGCTTTCAGGCGAGGAAGACGAGGATGACAAGGATGACAAAGATGAAAAGGACGAGGAAGAGGAGAAGGAAAAAGCCAAAGAGGCTGCCAAGGAGGAGGTCGCTTGGTAGAAGCAGTCCTGGCACCTCTATATTTTTATTGTGGTTGTGGATCCAACAGAACAACGAGGTTGTCGCACTACTCTCTTTACATTGGTGACCTGCATGACTAACTACTCTCTTTGGCTGCTGCCTCAGGAGGAGCCGGAGGAAGATAAGGAAGCAGAAGAACGCAACATCATCAACATGCTCCTGGGACATTGGATTGGTGATGAGATCAAATCATTTTGTAGAGGGGTCCACGCGCCACGATCCGAGGGGTGTGAGACAGTGGGATGTTGAGTGCTGCAACACTTTAGACTCTAGAAGTTTCCGTGTTTTTCCCTGGAAGGTTCCTATGTTCCACTGGGATAACACTACCAGCACCTTCATGCACCTTCCGAACTGGAGGTCGGACTCTTTTTCCCCGACGATACCCGACCCAGGTCACGGTGGATTTTGCGGTCCAGAGATGTCCAGATCTAGCTTCAATTCCAGGTCGGAGATGCCGCTCCAGGAAGGATCCCATCTTCCGAAGGATCCGTCCTCGCGCGTCTCCCCAAAGCCAAACGTCCGCCCCATCCGAAGAACGGGCGACGCTGCGCTCGCTGGATCCGAGTGGACCCGGCGGCCCGGGCTGGGTGGCTGGGTCTCCGAAGTCCTTGGTTTTGGTGGAAGATTTTGGAAGAAGGGCCAGCTCCAGGATCCAGCTTCATCCAGAATTCTTCCAATGAAGCCTGATGAGATGGCTGAAGATCCAGCTTCATCAGGCGTGGGCTGACACGATGGTATCCCCAATGCAGGACCCCATCCTGTACTTTCAAGGGCCCCCAGAGCATGACTTCGCTGCACAGCAGAATTTTCACCGTCCGCTTTCCAGACCCAAGCCAGAGCACCCTGCATCCTCCTGCATCTTCATCCAATTCCTGGCAGAGTCAAACAGACCCCAACTAAACCTTAAGGTATTTGAAGGCTTCAACCCTTAGGAAAGGACAGGGCTGGACAGCCAAGTCTTGTAACTCTGGATCCGTTCGTCTCCTTTCGTCCGAGGCTCGAGGAGCTCATCGTGTTCCTTCAGCCCTTAGAGACGCCGGCCATGGCGCTGGGGCGGATCCGCCGCGGCGGCACGCCCAAGGCGCCCAGCGACCAGCTGAAGACTCGCGCGCGCCTGCGCCAAGCACGCGCGGGCGCGCGGGCGGGCGGCGCGGGCTCCCAAGCACAGGCAGGCACGGGCACTGGAGGATGGGGACTGTGAGGGCAGTTGTTAATTTGGACCCTGGTCGCCCTAACCCCGAGCGGCCTCCTTTGTGCAACTGTATGTCAAAGGAGCTTGCTTGTTGTCCGCATGTTTGAAGAGTGTAGCTTTAGGTGTTCTACTTGAATAAACAAGGTCCCTGCAGCAGGTGTCCTTCCTTTCAACGATAGGATCTTTGGTAGGTTGGTAGATGTTAGTAGGTCTTTCGTTTTGGCACCAGCAGCTGGGGAGTCGCAGGACATGGAAGCAGAGCCCAAGCCGAAGCGGAAGAAGTTCAACGTGGCCGGGCGTTTGTAGAAAGTGGATCCAGGATGATTAGCCCTAGGGCTCCAACCATATCATGAGAAGGTGGTTAAACCATATTAAACCCCTTAACAATTTTCTCATGAACGAGGTAGGCCAGCAGCCCTATAAAGAAAATTCGTTGGGGAGGTGGAAGGAAGGACCGAATCGATGGCCGAACTACCGGCCTGGCCGAACGGCCGCCATGACGCCCACCAGGTGAGTGGATTCATAAAGGGGACACCCCCAGTCGTCAACGACCAAAGCCTTTTGCTACCTGGAACAGACCTACAGTGGGCAAGAAGCTACTAGAATAGCAAAGGGCATCGCTACTAGTAGCAAGAAGCTACTATATATATAATAGTAATGCCCTTGTGATATACATGAATTCAATTATTCCGAAAGGGACATCATTGGAAGGGACTGTGGGCCCCACATGGCCACATGGATCCCAGTGGATCGGGGCTGTTCCGAACGCCAGTGGATCGGGTGATGTTGTGGGCGAAGGCGGCGAAGGCCCCAGTGTCCTGGTGAAGATGCTGTGTTTTCCTATCGTTTCTCCAGGTGTTTGTCGATGAGTTCGGGTGGTGGTTGGTTTGGGTGTTTGTTTGTTTTTTCAGGAATTTCTATTACAACATCAACATCCCAGTCGCTCGCAACTGACCAGTCTCAACTCACCGGTACCAGTTCAAGTGACCTGGAATCCAGTGAACAGTGGAGAAAGTGGGCCCCTGATCTCCTGCAGTGGGAGTCAGCTGAGGAATGGGGCTACGAAGACGGTCAGGCCGCCCCAGACCCCGCAGACCCCGAAGACGGGACCACGGTGTCCGCTGAAGCTTGGTGGACTGCGCAGCATGGATTTTGTTTTTTTT